GTGAAGACCCACAGAGTTGTGAGCCTTCCTTCTACATATAATGAAATTTTTTGAGTTACTCTTTCATTTTCCATTAGCAGTTTTTATATTGTTTTTTCCGATTTGAAAATTATAGCCATGGAAACCCCTGCAGTAATTTAGAATCACACTTTATTGTTGAAAATAGCATAGAGCAACAGCGTTTCATTTACGTTGTACCGAATTTACTTGTAACTTTATTTGGATATAAATTTTCATGTAAACGAACAGGCAGATCTCTAGCTGAAGCCACGAGTTTATGTTTTGGAGGTAATGCTTTTGAATCTTAGTCGAGAAATCGGTATCCTGACTGAGGGTATTTCGTAGGTTTACTCAGTTCCTCCAGGTGAATGTCAGAATAGTACCTGGAGTAGGCCATGACCACGAACGCTTCCTTCCACATCCTTGCCAGTTAATTATTCACTAATTATCCTATCATTCTTCTCCGTATATTCTGAGCTACTGACAGATCATTAAATACACCACGACTACGTGTAAATAATGTCAGGCAGACTAGAATATTAGATGAAAACGGGAGTAGCATGAAACTGCAGTGCAGTTATGTTTGAATTCAGATTTTAATCTTTAAAGGAAATTCAGGTAGCAGTATGTATGACCGGATGATATGTGCCCTTGGGTAGCACACTCCGTACACACAGAACGACCGTGCTAGCCAGCGACGCGAAACAGCAGCCGATCGCCCAAAAGGGATAGGCACACTGTCGTAAATCCATGAGGCAATACAACAGTTCTATAAGCTCACCCCAAAGGGCAGACGCTGGAGCCGACCAGTTAGTACGGTCGTAGCCAAAGGAAACTTATTTATGGAGCTGAGCCCTTCTTGAGGAGAAGCCAAATCTGCAGCTGCTCAAGAATTTCCCAGCATTTTGTGGAACCCGAAGGTTCATTAAAGTGTTCACAAGAGCCCTCCACTGGTCCCTATCTTGAGCCAGATCAATCCAATCCATACTGTCCCATCCTATCTCTCTAAGATCCATTTTAATATTGTCTACCCACCTACACATTGGTCTTCCCAGTGGTTTCTTTCCTTCTGGTTTTCCCAGCAATATCCTATATGCATTCCTCTTCTCCCCCATTCGTGCTACATGCCCTGCACATCTCATCCTCCTTGACTTGATCATTCTAATATGCTTGGAGAAGAGTAGAGTTTATGAAGATCCTCATTATGCAGTTTTCATCAACCTCCTATCACTTCATCTCTCTTCGGTATCCAAGGCAAACTATAGATTCAAAACTCTTTGAGTCTAGCCAAAGGCCTAATGATCATAGTTTGTGCACAGCCAAGTAAGTGAAGTGGAAATTCTCATATATTCAGTGTTGCTAGCACAAACGTGTATAAAGCTTTGCTCGTCACATTAGTTGAACATTGCTGATCGGGGCAGTGTCCATTAGTAGAAATGGCGATAAATGTGAGTAAGATTATTTTTGGCAGGAGTGCGGATGCCAGAGCGTTGAAAGCCAAGGTTAAGGGTCACAATAAATCGATGGATATAAATATGTATTATGTTCAAGAATGCCGTCTTCTGGGATTTGGCGCCATGTAGATCTTGTGCGAACCGATGTTTCGGAGGAACGTATCGCCTGCAGCCACCTGCTCACGCTGGTTCTTCGATTGCGGATTTTTATACCCTCAAAATTGAGGCGATACTTTCCCCCGAAACGTCGGTTCACATAAGATCTACACGGCGTCACATCCAAGAAGACGGCATTCTTCACAGTCACCGCCGTGAAAATCTCAAATCTTACACAAATTTGCAATATACAAATACAAAAATGTATTATGTTTGTGGACATTATCCATCGTCCTGTTTTATTTAAAAGACAAGGTTTCGAGACTGGATTCTGACTCCGTCTTCAGGTAAAACATACTAATTTTGGCTAAATCGACAGAGCTAGTACGTATCTCCGGATAAATGAAGACAGGACGATGGCTAGTATCCAGAAATGCACAATATTTGTACTGATGTATCATCGTCACAAACGTTTATATCTTAAGAAACTGAATTAAAATTAGAATAATGAGAATTATTGGTATGTGGTTCACAAGTAAGTAAATGTAGTGCAGGTAATTCTCCTGCCCCTTATTCCATCTCCCACGCATCCCGAAGAGGAGAGAGAGAGAGGTATTGTAAGATTGAAGTATCTTGAGATCACATTAAGTAATATAGTCGTTAGCCTACCGAAAGACAGCCGTGTTAGGATAGTAGCGGCAGAATTGAAATTGGTTGTTTCAGCGGGGTAATAATAAGGTCCACGCTGCTACAAACAATTATTCTCTAATTCGACGCCCTCTAAGCACCGTTAAATAAAGTAGAAAACGATAACCTAAAAAAAAAAATCGATGGAAAATGTCGACGGGAAAGGCGCAGGCATGCGAAAACGAGCTCCTGAAGACGGAAAAATGCACACCCACCTTGAATATGAAAGACTGTCTTGGAAATAATTTGATTAATAGCGTAGGTCTTTCTTTCATTAATATTTCTTATTCATCACGTGTGTATTCTTGTATGTCTTGTTTCTCGTTTTATGGCATGCCGGAAAATGGAAGTTTCTTCAATGGAATTATTGGTTCTTAACTGTGAATAAAATATCATGTATTTATGGAGAATAACTTTATAGCAACTGAGGAAGACAGTTTAAATAAAATCTCAACTTGGCCATAGTTACATATAACATGAAGATGGACGCTCCTTTTCCACGAATAATATAAAGCATAATTATGA